TTCGCGTGAGCCTTCCACTAGCTCCGTGTAAAAACTTCGGGTGTCTTTTTATGACTTTTACTGCGGTATAATTGGGAGGGGCGAGCGCTTATGTCCCCGAGGTGACATAAATACACCCCCCCATACTCGGAGCTTTCAACTACCCCCTGCTTAATCTCATGTAAGACTATACGATAAGGAAGCATTAAAGCTTAGCTGGAAATTTCTTAAAAGCATCATCTTTGTTCCATTTTTAGAGACACGAAGCAAATTCAATCTTCCGCTAATCACTGATTGATGTTCTATAACAAAGAAAATTGTCTGCACCTATGCGAAGTGTGTATGTTTTCGGATAGAGTGGAGGTAGGGGTGATATATGGAGCCTTATATATGAGCTAATGTAAAGCTAAGCATACGAGATGGGGTTGTTTCGTCCCAGGTGGGTGCGACGCAAAGAGCTGTTGTGTGTTACTTTTGGCCGGCCGTGTTATACACAAATGCGAAGTAATGGCATTAGCATTTCTTATTGTAGCTATATTTCATACATCTAAACGATTGTTTATTCCTAACCATCAGTTAAACGATTGTTATTGAACACCCTCCCGGTTGAAGCTTTGAAATGTTTTAGCACAGATAAAAGAAAACACATAATAGGGCAAACGAGAAGAGAAGGCGTGTAATGGGAACGGAATATTTTCCGATAGTTTCCTATATCAAAGAAAACAACTTATACCTTCAATTCAGTCAGCAAGCGCGATTCCAATTTAGACGGCAGTAGTGATGCGCGAGGCGCGGTGGGTTCGGCGTCGTGTGCATGTATTTATTTGCAAATTCCGAATAGCTTTCAATATGTGGAGGCGCGACTCCCTCCTGTCGATCTCTTCCAATATCGCACTCTGAGACGTCACGGAGGCGACGCCATTATTCGCCGCGACAATTGACAACGCTGCTAGGACGCCGCATGATAGATGGGACGTAAAAAAACATAAGCGTAATTGAGATTTCTATTATAAAAATTGAAGGCGACCGATCGCCGTGTTTGTTTACATAATGTGAGTGGCGACGCGGCGCTATCGCGTTTCCGAAGAGTCAGCGGACGTCAATTTGTATATTGTCATTATTGGAGCCGATGCGGAAAGTTTGGGCGCGTTCATCCATCATAGTCGGGCCGATATCGCGCCTAATTCGTATTGATTTGCCACTTAGCCATTTCTTGAATCTCGCCGCTCCACCCTTCCGTCCGGCGAGTGCTAACGGGCTGTTTGTTTCTTACTAATGCTAAAGCTAACCAACCCTATCATCAAAAGTATGACACGATTCTGCGGTAATATCTGATCATGATATGTCATTACAGTTAATACCACAACAGAAGAACAAGTAAGACAAAAATGGTTTTGTAATACTTCTTTAATGTCTAGGGGAATAATTACGCTAAATACGAATACGCTTCTTCAGTTTCAGTTAAAAAAATATCCCAATATAGGAATATGTCTTAATTGATGTTATATACAAAAGGAGCTTATAATAACTCCTTAGATTTCGTAAATTGCGAAGAAAAAGATTGCGTCACCAAGGTCCCCGGTGGGGGGAGGTGGGAGGCGAGAACAATGGTTTCGATTCTCACACGTGTGGAGGATTATTTGCATTCGGAAATAAAGAGAGGAATGATAAAAGAAAGGCGCGAGTGGGTTCCGCCCGGGGCCCGGTGTGGGAACAGGGTGGTGGGTAGCGCCTTCGGGAGGGAGCTCGTTACGCGAACAATGGAGAAATAATGTACAGATTGCAGTGAGCGATGCGCCCAGCGCGACTCAGGTGTCTTAGCTGTGTGCGGACATCGTCTTTGATTGTTGATGTAGGTGTCGAACTACGGGGCATACAATACGATCTAGATTCTTAAAATACCTAAGTTTTATATATATCTATACAAACAAACTTTTCACAATATATATATATATATATATATAAATTATTTGTTTGAACGCGATAATCTCAGGAACTACTGGTTTGAATTGAAAAATGCTTCTTGTGTTGGTTAGAGCATTTATTGAGGAAGACTATAGGCTATAAAACATAGCGCTGTGACTAATAGGAGCACAGAAACAGCAACAGGGAAATGTGGAAAAAACGTGAAAAAACATTCACCCTTGTTTATATATAAAACGTATTTTATGAAACGAGATTATGATTATATACGGTTATTATTAGGCTGTGATCAAATCGTGTTCTACCAAATCTATTTGTACGAGAGCAGGAACTAGTAAACATTAAAATTTAAAAATTATCATATGTTCATACTTAAGTACTAGTCAAGTCTATCAGTATAACGACTAACGAGGTTCTTGTAAAATAAAAAAGGTAAAAAACAAAACACTTAGCGGTTTAAAATGCGTATTAATGTTCACATATATACATATTTGAACATAGACCAAGGTCGCCTATTGCTCTTTCTTTTATTTAGTTGTATGGAAAATACACAAATAAATGACATCAACAAAGCTTAGCTATCATGTGGATATCAACGTCATGATTATCTTTTGCATACCTCGTAGACTTCTCTTATTGCCTCACAATGCTCTATCAGCATCTCCTATCGCCGGTTGCATAACGCGATCCATTAGTATAAGTGTGAATGATTTTAACTGAGGCTGAATCGTTTCAAAGCCTGCCTTCATAGGAAGCGCAAGCAATCACAACACAATCACTCCATCCTCGCATGACACCGAAATCGTCCTCGTTCATATTAATAAAGTATAAATTAATCCATTCGGAGCGGCCGGCACCGACCGACGATTAACGGAAGCGTCTACTTAACTAATTTAACCCCGGGTGGTTTTAACAGAATGGATAGCTGTGATTACGGATGACGGCGACCGTGTGATCGGAACGTCACTGGGTACAAACTTGGGTCTCGTTTTATTGTCAATATCACGATCAAATTTAAATGGTTGACAATATTTATTTAAAATCATATAGTACACAAACAACGCTTTCGTGATCCTTTGGGTTATAGATTTGCAGGAGCTATGTTTTGTTAAAATATAGGGCAATAAAAGACGTACGTAACTACCGTGTGTAGTTTACGATAGAATTATGAAACAATGACACTTAACGATTTAAAACAGAAAACGTCATATCCAATATCAGTAAATGAAACGAGATTAAACGGAACCATATTTAAGTGAATTAATTTCAACAACGTCCCGATGTCTAAGGTGCTTTTCGGGCGCCATCTTAGCATCGAACAGCAAGATATTTGTACCTAATCTACAAGCGACATTTTAATAACATTGATCAAATAGAACAAAAGTATGTGGACGGAGCACTCGACAGAGATGAAAGTTAAAAGGGTCGAGGGGCGGCCGCTAGTGTGGGGAGGAGAGGGTTGAATGTCTTATTCCCTCCTCAATTCAGAGGTATTTCGTGTTTTTCATACGCAAATATATCCTCGTTACTGAGGCACACGTGAAAAAGTATTGCGTCTGCGCTTATATGATGAAGTTTAAGAATAGGTATGTACAACGCGTAATGCGCTGACATACTTTTTTGACACTCCCTTTGTATAAAATTATGTCGCTCTGATTGAAACTTCTTAAATTATTATATTTCCGAAAACTTTAATGTTTTTCACATCGCAACAATCAATTTTAGATTGAAAATTTTTTGACACGAGCAGGACTTGAACTGCCATACCCTAGGACATGGTGGCTCGATTGGTTAGAGCAACCAGCACGGAATGACTGGATCTAATGTGTGAATGTATATACAATAGAGCATTATATACATTTTAAAATGTCTATAAGTTTTTGGAATAACTTATTCTAATGGTTTTTAATAAATAAATAAATAAATAAATAAATTACAAAAATTAGGCATCGAAAGTATATTGATTTGAATTTTGAAAAATTGAATATTTATTTAAAGAAACTCACAAGCACCTCATTACTTTTACTGTAGTTTTGCCAATGGTTTTTAAATACCATTCAATATCAGAACTAGAAAAATATATTTAAAAACTACAGCTTTTAATGATATTTTCTCATGAAAAATATACAATATTGTGTATTTAATCAATAATTATGTACTAAAAAATAATTGATGAAGAATTAATATAATATAATAATAAAATTCTTTATTGCACAAACATAGACAGACACTTAGATTTATATACAAAATAAAACAGGTTTGTGCATAGGCAGCCTTATCGCTATGGCGATTTCTTCCAGACAATCTTTGCATGTAGAAATAAAAAAAATAAAATTACAGTAAAGAACTAAATATCGGGAAGGTGTATCGGCAAAAAACGTTTCAAAAATAGGGATACTTCTCCCCGTGACCATGGCTCCTGCAAAGCATCCGAAACGTCGGGCTGAAGTTATAAATCATTGTCAAATAAGTTTAACTAATATATCGCGTTTTAAGCCGTTAAAGTGTTTTATTTTAATGTGTACTACTCCCTAAACTTTAGACAGTATTTAAATATATCTACATCAAACTAAGATATAATCCAGCACTATACATATATTTAGGAATTAAATTATCTAGATGTCTAAAGTCATAATTATAGATATATTACATAAAAATCCATTAGCCATATGTGTATATTTGATTAGATGTGGATTCCTCCACAATGTGGGAATAGGAAAATGGGCAACAGTTTATGTCTCTGCAAAGTATATAATCAATTTCTCTAAAATTGCATTTGATTTTTAGTTATTTCTATGTCATATACTTTCATATGATGTTTCCTTAACGCAGTGATAAATTCATACTTATATCACTGTATTATTAAATTATTGCCTATTCAAAAATGTCTGAAGCCAGAATTTGACCCGAGAACAAAACAAGTTTTAACAGCAACAGTATATAACAATTCTTTTGCAGTTAGCCTTTTGAGATGTAAATCATAGTAAGCTGTAATAGTATTTTGAATACTAAACTTATGATGAACTTAAGCATAAGTGTGTACAGTAGGTATACCAAAGAACTGAAGTTTTTTCTTAAATGTAAACAATATTCCTTACCTCATTTTGATCAAATTCCTGTAGGTATCTATCATTTCTTTGTTTTTCATACATTGCACGGGCCAAAGCGCTTCTTGGTCTATAAAAACCATTTAGTCCACCACTTGCCATCTCCTCATATCTGACTCTTGTCTCCAAAGGCGAATTTAATTCCCAATCAAGTATTTCATAGTGCTCATGTTTTGAACAGATTTCAGAGTATTCCTTTACACAATAAAAGAAGGGGAACGTTGTTAAACAATTGTATTTGAGGTTAATTGACAGTGTTCCATTAACAAGGCCAAGAAAACTAAACCAAAATATTGCAAACATTCAAAAAACTTTACGAATCTGCACAAATACCTTGGAAACATAACCTATACGTAACAGCTCTTTGCAATATCATCGAAAAAATTACCCGGAAAAATTTGAAATAGTTGTCGTGAAGTCTGATTTACTTAATTAGAAATCAAAAGTAAGTACCATATTTTTGTTTACATTCGTATAAAAAACTGATTACAAGTTTTTGACAACAACTGTCAATGTCGAGTATCAACTGTCAACATTAATCGCGCATGCGTCATGAACAAATGCAGATAATAGTATGGTCCTTATTTTTCGGAAACATCTCTTAATTTTAATTAGGATAATGTTTTTATTTGGATATAGATGTCTGTGTGCTCATATATAATTATACTTTATAGGCAAACTGTATTCCGTCGAATTGAAAAAGGATTAGTTTAAGTTATTGACAACACTCAGTTTTTAATAAACTTAACTCATATATAACTTCTTTCTTTTTCTGATAGAAGGACCCTCGAATAGTCCCGAGTTAGAAATAAACTTTTTTTCTATACCTACTTCAGTGTAAAAAGGTACAAAATCAATACTTACACGATTTTGTTTTGTTTCAAGAGCACCTCTTATAACTATTTCTCTTAGAACTCGACTCATTTTTGTCATTTCACTGTGTTTAACTTTGTTTTTAAGTATTTATATATATACCGCTATACAGTGTATAGCAACCAAAAAAAAATTGCACAACCTTTGCTTTGTAAAACGCGCAGTGAGTGTGAATTTACTTGATATCGAAAGGTTTTACTTAAAAAGTAATAGAAATAGTTTGGCCTTGCCAATGACCGACCGTTCACTGTCACAAAATACTATCTCGCTAGTATTTGACCGTTATTAGAAAAAAGAACAAAAGCAGGTTACGTAGTTAAAATTTTACTCAGTAGGTTGGTGATTTTATTACTAATCATTTATTATCAACCGAATAAAATAAAGTAAGTGTATCTAGAAAAAAATCTTGTATACTACTTATTGAGAGTATTATTTCCATTATAAATTTTTGAAATCTTTTATGTTGTTCTACTTTTTAAAAGACAATACTTAGTTGCTTCATGTCTTATTGCAGAGTATTAATGCTAATTCTATTAAATCTAGAATTTCTTCAGTCACCAAAGCTACGATTAAGGGTATGTACTTAATTCTAAGTATCTATGTTCTTATGCCTTTGTTTATGCAATAAAGAGTTTTTTATTATTACTTAGATCTAAATATAATCTGTGGATTATCATCATAAATTCAACATTATAGTTTCGCACAAATTGTTTTTTAATGAAATTTGTTTATATGTATAGTACCTATATTTGGAAAGTTTTTAAATAAACAAAGGGAATTTAACTCACACTTTTTTCAATTTTTGGAATCTTCAGGTTGTGGAAGCTGTACGGGGCTTTGCGTATTTCCATTTTCTAACAATTAGACCGTAACGTATTCTAAACAAAATGATGTCTAATGTATCGAGTTATTTCTATCTTTATGATAGTAACGTTCATACAATCATAAGATAATATTTTGATAAACGTTTGGCTTAATTCTTGATAAGATGATTTTAGTGTTCGGCTTTTATATTGTTTTGTAACGAGAAGTAACGACTAACGAATTAGTATAACGACTAAAGCAATCGAAAAATATGACTTGCATAAAATAACTAAATTAGTAACTTAAAATAAAATATATTAAAAAAATATTTTGTTATATTCTTAAAAACTTCATAAATGTGGATAAATGACAATATTTTTTATCTCAAATTTTCTTTTCATTTTGTCTGTCCTCCTCTGCCATATGATAAGAATACAATAAAAAACACTTACATTTCGTTCATGAACTAATTTAAACCAACAATCAATAGATGGTTATAATTTAAATGTAATTAATAATCACGGAGCTAAGAAAAAAAAAACGATCTAATCTGCGAAATACTGTACACAAATAGGAATTAATTAAAAAAATAAAAAGTATAATTCCGTTCAATATGGTTTTCGATCACGCGCCGATTGCCTGAAGCGCTGGCCTCACGACGGTGCGCAGGCGCACGCGGGACATTTAAAATAATTACAAGCCATCGGAGAAACGTAACAGCCCGTGTTTTGAGACCATTACTTATTTTTAATTCCAAAAAATGCCTTAAAAGCACACACTTAGATCTCTCGAATTGTAACTAATGAGGCTCCGATGTAATTTTCCTGTAATTTTAATGTAATTGACATCTGTCATCTTCGATAAATGGTTAATTGTACAGTTCGCATAATAAGGAAATACTTTTTAGGCAAACTTATACGTTTTACCGCTTATTGGTGTGCAATACACAGCGATATTAATTAACTTTCTGCGTGTGTTAAAAAAAAGATTTCACTAATTTTAATACATTCCTTTAAATCAAGTATGTACAGTACATAATTGTAGACAACTTGATTTAATTGATTTTCGGTATTCATATATTTTAACTACCTATATATTATTTAAATTAATTATATACGTAAGTTGGTAATTAGTTCTCAGCTTATTTATCCCACATAACTCACTAAAAAGTTCTTTTAAATCCCGTTTTTCACTGTGGGGCATGGGGCGAACCTTTTTAAATCGCTATTTCGGTAAACGTTTATATTTATAGGCAATGTATGACCAACCGAAACAATATGTTGTTTTCTCTGAATTCGAACTCGGGACCTCTCGTGCTGAACGCAATGCTAGGCAACAGATGTAGCCTTTTTGCTGCAGAGGCTTCATGTCACACTTGATAAAATACTCCAATAGATTAAGATCGAGGTGTTCGAAAACAAAAGCGAGCGGTCGGCTTAATTTAAATCCGTGATCGCAGTTTTTGCACCCTCAACCGCATTCTCACAGCGGCGAGTCTTGATGCACTTCACTTCTGATTGGATCATTACCGAGTTCATCATACCCCGTGCGATCCTCGGGCCAAGAGAGAGACAGACTCACACCCCAACACCGAGGAGACAAGGACGCAACGCGCGCACATCACCCAAGAATTATTTCATATCATGATTATTGGAACTTTATTGCACTCCGTAACTAACAATTGACATTAGGAAATGCAATTTTATATTGATTTCGTAATCTCGGCGGACGTTTATTTTTATCAATGCAGCAAATCTTTCTATGATTTGCGGCTAACCATCGCGCAGGTATTCGTGCGGTGCGCGACCTGAGAAAAAGTCGTAAGCGCCGATCGGGTTAATTTTGACAGTGGTCACTTGTAACTAACGTCGTGGGTTAAATGGGTATCACGCTTGTAAACTACCAAAAAGTAGCCTGAACTAGAAAATCTAAGAATACTGAAATACCGTACGGAAGTCACCACATGTGGAAAAGCTAATGTATATTCACATTTCGCTTTCCAACTGTAGATTTATGAATGGCCCATAGCAATGTATGGCTCAATTGACGGGTTGTGGGTCTGATCCCCTTCGGGTCCAACATTATTCTAATAAATTTATAATGTTTCTGAAAATCTGGATATTAATTGGGCGGGTAGGAATATGGAATTTTCATCCGAGTCCACCACTGTTCACAGATGGAAAAGCCGCCAAGTTTATTCACGGTTACATTCACTGGATTTCCGAATATCCAAAACCAAATACGTCGATAGCGCATCTTGTTTACATGTTATATGGATGGGGTATTCCACCTACCATTAACTGAATCCCATGCTTGTCCATCCTCTATCATAAAAAAATATTTCAGTTACTAAAATGGCAGACCATTTCCAGAGAGCTGGGGCATTATTACACCTTGCATCAAGTAAAGTTTCGTCTGTCAAAAAAATCACGTAAACGGCAGGAAATCGCTCGGACCGTCACAAAGGGTGAGAGGACCGAGAAATTATCTTTTCGTCGGATACGAAACCGCTAAACGCCAATTACACGATACAGTTTGAATTATTGAGATATCAAAAAGTAATGATCTCAACACCGGCCGGAAGGTGTCGTTCTGAGCACGTACGCGCCACGGCCGCGGTTCTACGATAACCGAAAATTCGACATGATTACGGTCATCACGTTTCTAATAAATTCCCACAGCTGGACATCTGTCCCACCTAACCGCATTTATTGACGCTAATGGCCACTCCTCGCTTATTATATTGCAAATAAGAATATCGCTACGCACGTTGTTTTCGATATTCCCGATTTCGTGTATCGTTTGGCAAAGGCTCTTAGGGTACTTAACGCCGCCATTATCTGTAATTATCACACACACTGCCGAGAGGTTTCTGCTTTGAGCCAAGAGGCAAATGTGGAAAATTACCGTAATTAAAATAATTAACCTTTACAGTAATTATCTCCTTTGTATCTTCGTGTTTTATCTACCTTTTTGATGTCTTCGCGTTAATTTAAGGTCGTGTATATGCAACGAAAGAGAACGCAATTTCCAAGGAATTAATATAAAATATCGTCTTATAACAAATGAATATCAAATATATTCAGTCTGATTATTATGTTTGTTAACTATTAGAAGATCTTAAAAAGTATTATTTTTTTATTATTAATGCTATTTTTTTATTATTAAAGATTATTATTGTATCATAGTTGTATTTATTATAGGATGCACACGTAAAATTCATTTGCTCTTTTATACAAAAAAAATATTACAACAGAACTGTGTATTCAAGACTTGTAATAGAATAAATCGTTAATTGTTTACTGACCTGTACTTAAATAAAGAAATAATTAATCCGTTTATACACAAAGTTACATAAGCAACAAAAATGAATAAAAAAAACAACTCACAAAGTAAAATAATGAACAAAGTACAATTTTAATTTGTGCTAAAAGGCGTCGTACTTAGCTTGTGCTCAGCATGGCTTGGTAAGCGCTGATTTTCAGTCTGTCCCTTATCAAGTAGCCAAAGTAGCAAAAATTGAAACGTCGTGGAAAAATAGGGAAACGAACGTGAACAAATATAATTATAACATTTGCAGATATATGATTATTATAATTGTGAATTCTTTAACATTATCTCTCTTGCACTACAATTATTACAAATATTATTAAATCATAGTTCTATAATTACAAAAGTTTGCTAGAAAAGTCTATCCAACTCCAGGATAAGTGGATCGGTATTCCACAATACAATTTCTATTATAGGCCGCTGCAGAGTGATGATTGAAATGAATTAAATATAATTCGAATAATTGAAGCCTCGATTACAATAAGACAAAGGGATGAGCCGATGTGGCTAGGAGGGATTCAATTTCGAACGTGATGAGAAATCAGCGTATTTCATACAATTCGATATTAGTACGAATCGAGATTTAAGTAGTTTTTCAAGCTAAACGTATTGCTTAGCTATGCGAGTGGTTCTTGGTTAGATTCTGGAAAAGGGTATAAATAGTTTATCTTCATTATTTTATAGAATACACATAAATACACCATTGTCTGTAGTTTAGAGGTCACACATTTAATTAAAACACATTAAACCGGTTTATAACGCGAAATATATTAGGTAACAGATTTTTTATTTATTTGGACTACGGCTCGATGTCTCAAATGCTTTGCAGCAGCCCGGCGTCTCCCCGAGACTGTTTTAAACCGATAAAAGTGTTTTAACCTGCTAACAATTTGTAATTAATCAGTACAGACTTGTAAATACTGATAGATGCTCTTTAAAAATATAATTGTAAATATATTCGATATAAAGATCTTTACTTTAAGTAACATGAATAAATATGTATAAAAAATAATAATTAATGATATTAAACACACCTATTCATTGACTTATCTTTTAGTTAGTCCTGCTTCATATATTCTTAAATTAACATGTCAATACTTCTAATTATTATAAGTTATATTAGTAGTCCAAGAGGACGTTATTTAATTGTATCAAGTATGCAATTCACGTTTCTTTGTGTTCCTTAGAATAAGTCCAGTATCACATTTTTAATACAAGTCTAACAGGCTTGCATTGAGAATATAAAAAAACGCTTGAAATCATATCTCATTACTTAAGTTAAACCGCAACGGTTGTAGACAGTCTGAAGCAGATGTTTCAACTCGCGAAAATGTATTAAGAATTCAATATTCTATCCTATTTTAAGCCCTATCAGCTATGCAATAAGGGTTAAAAAGGATTGTTAGACTTTGAATATGCAAAGCTTATTTAGCAAATTAATATACAGAGGCTTCGTTAGAGGCTCCATAATTAAAAAACGAATTTGACGTCCGCGCGTGAACGTGCTGAAAGTTAAGTGTGAGTGATGCGCAGGCGTTTTTAACGCTTTGTTTTAATAAATGACTTGAAGGCTTATTGAAATGAGAAATATTTTAATGCCCACGTATTATATATTTCACATCATGATAGTATTCCGACGGATCACCTGATCGGTCGGCTAGTACCAGGGGTCCCGGATGCGCTGCCGGCCTTTTAAAAAGTATGCTCTCTTTTTGAAGATCCTTAGGTCCCAAGTGTCCTGTGAGATGCATTGTCGGCTTTTACAAAAGTATGCTCTTGTTTTGAAGCTGCTTAGATCTCAGGGGTTCTGGCGATACGTTGCCGGCCTTTTACGCTCTTGTTTTGAATCATTGGATCATTAAGCTTAACAAGTACTTGTACTTGTAAAAACAACATAGTCAAAAGATCTAAAGCCAAAATAGGTGGACTGCGATCTTGTTTAGAAGCTATAGGCTGGGGTATTTCGTTAACTGAATCCTATGTTTGTCTGTCCTCCTCTAAGATTAAAAAACATCTAATTGTATACGAAGGTTTAACGTGTGAATGAACTCTGTCGAGACAATCTGATTAATTAAAGCTACATTTCCACAGATTAAGCTGCCGGCACTTATTTACTATCACAACGCGAGCCATAATTGCAATAATCTCCACATATTTCCTCCCAACGCGTCGAGATTACAAAAACAAATTGCCGCGCATTCTTGTCGGATCGTACGCGAATAATTAAGCTGGTAATTATGTGTGGAGCAGAAAATGCAAATGCTGTCGCCCCGAGAGTCTTCAACGTGAATTATGTACGAATTGGTGGAGGGTTAGAGTTGCACCTTGGCCTGTCATGGGATCTTGGTAAATGGAAAGTGCTTGGTTTTTTGAAGGACAAGCGTGAGATTCACTTGATGGTAGGTGAATTTCACCAGCCCTGTCTTTGATTAGTGCTGTCCATTTATTTTGTCTATGGATTTTGGAAACAAACGGACAGTAGTCATTGGTAGCAACAACAGCGTTGTATGTGTCATTTTTTATTTAAACATTATTTTTAAAAGCTCTCGTGTGAATAAATACGTAAATATTTCATTTGAAAGAGAAGGACAAGCAAGCAGGCAAGGTTTAATAAGGGAAAGTGAAGTACGCCTGACACATAACATCTAAAGAAGATGTTTGATGATTGATTGAGAAGATGAAGGGTTTGAGTTATTTGGGCGTTGGATATCCGGAAATCCAGAGACTTAAAACTAAACACGATTTTAAGCACTTTAATACGTTTTTATCTGTAGACGATGTTTCGTGAACTATTTATAATCCAGATTTCCCGGACATACTACATCATGTCCTAAAAAAAATATAAATCATGTATAATTTAAGCATACAAAAATCATAATTTGTAATTAGTAAAAATTATATGTTGCTGCTTGATCTTGTATCAGTCAATGTGCATGCGCATAATAAAATAATGTTGTAAATAATTCTTGAATTTGATCAAACGTAAAATGTTTATAGTTTATGGTATTCAGAAGATCTTTTATTGTTTCTTTCGTGTTGAATGGATATGAAAATTGCGTCATATACCCTTCGACGTGATCATAATATTACGATACACGGTTCTGGGAGAAGCCTTATTCGCTACGACAACTAGTCGGAAGCGTAGGCTCTGTACATACAACTAAAGCCGGTCTAATTTCATTAGGTTGCATCAATAATAATATTTTACGCTATCAAAGAAAACCGTGTTGGTCTAGTGGTATTATAAGGTTTACCTTCGTTTTTTATGTTAGAGAAAGATATACACGTTTTTTTGAATGATCATCATGTATTTTACCCGGGACCGTCTCTACTAACCGGACCAGCTAAGATTTAAACACGATGCGCTGTTGGCCTATATTTGGATATTTGGAAATCCACAGACTGAAATCGTCACGCGATTAAACTTCACGGCTTCATCTGTGGTGGGTGATGAAAGCAACTGCACGGCACGGCACTGTGCACATGTTCTGAGTTTGAATCTAGTGTAGACGTAACTTGCGTAAAATCGTCGCCCATTTTGTTTTATTTGTTAACAGCTGTAAATAAAATAACTTACCCAGTTTTATCTAGTTTCAAACAATTGTCGAAAATTAATAACGGTTTTTTTCACTTTTGGTTGAAGGGTGTATTTTATTAAAAATGTTTTCGGTGCAATTTGTGCATAATAATAGCGAATTTTCGCAGACAATAAACTTTGACGCGGTGGGAACTTCGTCATTTGCGAGTGCAACTTTTATTTCTAATCGCTTTTTTACAACAGTTTAATTTTGAGGTGTCGCAGTTTGACATGGAACGATTGGTTTTAATACTTGCAGGTACAGTACATACGCTTTATGAAAAAACTATAAGCATAGGGAATAATTCCCTAACGCCACAAATACATTTAAAACAAAACAATTGGAGCCAAATTGTGACAACTCACAGAATGGAAGATAATTCCCGCGTCAAACAGACAGCTCAAAATGTTACCCCATTAGGGTTCACAAGTATCAAAAATGTCGGTTAACTGTAGCGAATTATCGAATAAATTGCATTGAACGTCAAATGTTTTGACGGTAATTTAAAAAGGCACGACAATAGGTAGGCCTTTAACGTCACAAGAAACGTGAAAAGCAATTCCTGTTTTTAACGTTTCGCTCTCGTCTTGTTTCTTTCGGCGGAGACACGAAGAAACCGGGTCCCTGTCGTGATTTAATACAAATTATTATTGGGGACATAAATAACCGTGTATGGGGCACAGGCTGGCTTCTTAATAAGTAATAAAGGGGTCATCATTTACAGCGAAGCCGGAATTAACCCGTGGACATATGGCGTTACTTATTGGACAGGGCTTACAAGATAACACTGTCGATATTTATTAACGGAGAAAAAACCAAAAATTTGGAAATAGGTGACGTTGGTTGGCGAAATCTTGTTAGAGCTTGGGTCAGACGTATTTCTGTGTCTGTTTTGTTATTTATAGGCCAGTAATTTGTTGCTAGTAAATATTAAGTATAGCCTGTTATTTAGGCGAGTATTTTACTACTATTAAATTTATATACTATTATATATAGTACACAATAAAACAATTTTAAAGGCTTAAAATGCGAAATCGTTATTATATTTCTTCGAGATTCAAGCCCCTTGTTAACGTAGTGATCTATATATCAACAAATGCGGTTTATGTTAATATTTATTTCAAGGAACACGGAAATATTCAACATATTAATAATGTAATAGTTATAGGATAGATTTTGCTATAAAATATCTGTGGAAGAACGCTTTTTCAGCCAGCAGAAGACCTGAATTTCAAGGCGTAAAATAGATACAAACACAGCGATATCAGTTTTAAAGCAGGACCAAATTGTATTTATCTTGGCGCGGAAATAATTTCGATAGCCACAAAGCTGAAAGGGCTCGCTTGCGCCCGGCAAGTGTAATTCCTACAAAGACCGCGCAGATCCTATTACAGTGCTAATCGGCAGAGTGCCGGCCGTACTAAACATCGCTTTACGCGCATTTATCGAACCATAAACAACAACTCTATGAAAATATAAATGCTCCCCGAAATTTTTTTTCTATCGTGTTTTTTTTTCATAGAGTCAAAAGCTCGAACAGACCACTTGCGCATTATGGAATTGCGAAAACTCCATTTGAATTGTGTTCGTGAGTGCCTTAACTTCCGCGGCCGGCGCGCGATTTTAAACTCTCTCCTCTGCTGTTACGAGTGAGATTCCAACGATCTATAAACTGTATACGTCTTTTTACACACCCGCGCTGCCAGTGAGCGTAGAAATGAGATATTTTGGCAGTATTAAGCAAATTGGATAGCTTTCAACACTCAACGGGGTTTCGAAGTTTCGCGGGGAAAATTGAATTAAAAATATCATGAGATATGAATATGTATGGACGGTAATGATGTTGGCTTGCGGCTCGCTCCCGTTGCAAATTGCGATTTGGAAGTGCACTGCCGAATTGAATTGCCTAACTCTAAGGCCCTAGTCATTTAAAGTTTTCTAGTTTACATGGAGTCGATGTTATTAGGCGTGCTGAGAGTTTGCTAGACATAGGCTCTTCAATATTTATACGTTGCGCAGGAGTGCTGTATGCATAGCAAAGTGTAGATAGATTTTAAATTAGATGACACAGATTGGGTCTTGAAGTCAGGATTGTAAACAACATCGACCCATTTAAACGTAGAAATACTTTTTCTATAATTATTTAATTAATTAACTGTTTGAAATTAAAACAAAATTTTTTTTTGCTTTACCAAACGCGTAAACAATAATCAGGTTTTACATACTTGATTTACCTACATGGTATTTGAAAATACCCACTAAGATCATTTTATAATGTAAATGAGAAAACATATTGGTATAATTTTCATGAGGTTTTCTTTTAAGTGATCACACAGCTAACTTTTTTTTCTTTTTATTTTATTTTTAATCACCGTTTTGACTGAAATTCCTTGCAGATTATTTATTTTTAACCAATAGTTCTACCTAAAGTAAGCAAGCAGTAATTAATAAAAAAACGTTCAACAGTTCAACATTTATTACAAATTTCGAATTTGACAATTCGATTGCTAAATATAAAGCAATCATGGTGGATCGTTCGTGTTTTAAACCGTTAAAAAGCGTATGACATAATGCATCTTCATTAGTCTGTCGATAATTTTACATTTCCACAGATTATCTCACTATAGTGCGGTATTTTAACGACCAAAATAACATGTAAATATAACGCCATGACTAAATTCAACGTTTCTTAGAATCGAACTCGCTACTTATCTCCCAAAATATCAAATTATTTTGTAAAATATGTTAATAATTCCGATTGTTTGTTAAGCGGACTGGGATCCCGTTCGAAAGCAAATCTGACTTTGATGAATAGTTTATTTATTAGGCGAGTGTTAGCCGATCGGCGCGAGCGCAGTATAAATCTATAATATAATAAAGCAATCGAAATCGTTTGTCTGTACATTTTATGAAATTTTTCTTGAGCACTGAGTGATATAAAAAGTCTGTCTGTATGTACACTCTCATCATAGAAACTACGGTATTTTATTTTACCCGTAGCGTGAGTTCAGCTTGACACATCATTTCATTGTCATCGGAACCCAATGTAAAAGTTATATTTTATTTAATTAATATGAAATAAGCTGCCGTCAAATTAAAGGATAATATAAAAAAATGTTGCTTTTTTTATATTATCCTTTAATTTTACGTATATCATTGTTTTTCGGGCTGTTCGGCAGACGTCAGCGAGAAGAGGTTCTCGGCGTTTCGCCATCACGGGCGGACGGCATTATCAGGAGATGTTACCTCCATTGCTCGAACGATGGCCGTGAAAGCCTTACACAATTTAACAGCGCGTATTTTCGAATATAAAGAACGAAATACGTAGCTGAGCTGTAAATAACATAATTATGTACACATTTTCCTAAAAAAGAGTTTATTTAGAAAATTATTAGATAAGCTTAAGACTATTTTCCAAGTAGAGAAAGGGGGGAAAGCTAGTTTTGAATGAAATGAAGATGTTTCTAAGGTAATGACGCACCTACTTACAAATCGTACGTTATTAACAATGTGGCGTGCGCGCCTATTTAAATGTCGGATTTGATGTTTGTATGGAAAATGAGCATGCAAGGGATTCCCACTAATATTTTCAATGGCTGTATGTTGGGCTTTAAACGTATTATATTCAGATACTAGCTGCGACAGCGACTTCGTCCGCGAGAATCGTTAATATGGACATGAAACCTTAAGCTGTTACCAACGACGTGTGCCGCGTCCCTTCCCCTCGTTTTTGCTAGTCAATCTTAAAAGATAAACAATAGCGTTTTTGCAGCGCACGCCTCGCAAACCCATAACAAACAAACTTATTAAAACAAAACACTTTAACGTTAGTTAGTTAGTGTGTTATATAGTTAGTGTTTTATTTAGATGTGTACTACTCGCGTAAACTAGAGACAGTATTTAAACAAATAAACTCTTCAGCTTTATATAGCTGATTATCTAGCTGTGACCGCGACTTCGTTCGCGTGGAATAGTGACTTGGTGTAGAATTTGTAATTATTTAGGCTGTTTATTAATTTATGTAATTGCGCATTTATCGCAGCCAATCTATGTTGTAAGGGCTACTTTGCCGCAACACTCTCACCTCACATCACTCCCACTCCCACTCTAACTCCCACTCCTATTCCCAAAAAGCCAAAGAAGAAAGTTTCATTATTCTAGATTCCAAAACGACGAATTTCCATGCACACTGTCACCCCCCTTTTAATCCCTTACAGCCCTCCTTTAGAAATAAAAAGTTAGTAGCCTATGTTCTTTCTCAGGGTCTAGACCATATGTGTACCAAATTTCATTCAAATCCGTTCAGTAGTTTTGGCGTGAAAGAGTAACAGACAGACAGAGTTACTTTCGCATTTATAATATTAAGTAAGGAAAGTAAGGATTACAGTATAGTTATTGATATACGGCTTTAAGGGGAACTGTATATTTATATTTTGTCATGTGTCCATCTCTGTCTTCTCATAAAAGGGGGAATAGAAGAAGTAGGGGAGACAATTTAAAAAATGTAACTTAAGAATAGGAATTGACTCAGAAGGGTCAAGAGTGGCGAAGAAAATTAATGGAAGTTTTGGAAAAGACCGAATCAAAAGACAAATTGTAATGTTTGTAAAACATATAACTTATGTGTAGAAAAATAAACGCTGATTGAAGTTATTTTGGGTCAATCAGTTGCGAACAAATTTATTCGATAAATATCATTTAATAATTTGATCTCTAGTATTTTATTTAGTTACGATTTATAATATTTAATTTTCTATACAATTATGGTGTATTTATGAAATATAGATAGGTAATTTCTACAAAAAGTGTTCTAGTGTAGCGTTCACCAAGTTACACTACAGTTTAAACGAATATCTTTCGCGTTTCAAACGGATAAACATGTTTTATAGAATGTACTATTCGCGTTAACTACAGACAATTTTCAATGTTTGAATAACACAGATAGGACTCGAACCAACAAAGGCGTTATATTTGGCTCTACCAAACAATATAATTACTGACTCAAACACAATTATATGTACATACACAAAAACTATAACACAAACGGTCCTTGAAGCTTGCAACAAAAAATCTAATCACGAAAAAACGTCAGCAATTTCGTTAATTACACATAACCGGAGCGAAATTAGCCGAACTACTTAAGCGTGGGATGAACACACATACATAAATAATTGTTTGATATTAAAATCAAAGATAATCTTTTTCGGAGCGGATTCCGGCGAACAGCCCCATCGTATAAAGCCCTATTCACACTACGCTACAACATTACAGCATACACTCAATGACACAATAATATAACATACTATTATTGTTTACTTTGCAGGTGTTACTGTATTCTGTTATATTATAGCACATTTCGATTAGGCTTCCTACAACGATGCTATCGGTATTTCATTATATTCCAGCGTTGTCTGAAGAGGCCGTTATGTTTAAGAATCGACAGCTATAA